GTTGCCAACATTCCATATCTGTAAAATACGGAAAACTGTAAAGAAATTATATAAACTGTTTAAGTGCCTATGACAGTTTAATTAATTTTACGAAAAAAAAAAAAGTTAAGTTGTAACATTTTGCTAAAAGCTTGACAATTTTTTCCCCAATTTGGCTATTTTGGATTTTCAAATCAGAAAATCAGATACTAATCATTACAAAATCTAGATAATCGGGAGGTAACAGTAACTGAAATATCGTAATATCGTATCGTCAAGTCTCATAATAATACCGTGGCCCGTCGCAATATATCGAATTACAAGTCTCTTTGCTTAAATTATTTGTTTTGTGCAGCAATAGCTAAAAAAAAACTGTGGGAACTACATAGACCATGATCCTTTGCTCCGTTTTTCTCCGTAATTTTTTGAATTCTATCAGTACCAATCTCTTGTCAAGGTAGTTTAAAAGGAAAAAGTACACAATTCTGTTAACCTCCACAAAATATCGTAATGAATATCGTATCGAGAGATTTGGATACGTTACATTTCTACTGGATACTCGGAATGCACTGATATTGGCAAAGATCCTGAAAAAAAAAGCTGGGTCGAGTATCGGTTTCAGGACATCAGTTGAGCCGATATCCTGGTTGGGCCTTTAATAAGTTGTTGATTTTGACTCAGGGGCCACACGGGTTCTAAAGTTTGATGGAGGGCCGGACAGGAGCAGATGGATGGAGAGAAAAAAATAACAGGGGAAATGTAGAAAACCTGTGCTTGCATTTCAATTGAAAGTCACTACAAAGCATCACAACAAAATATCTGTCTTTCTAAAACACTGAAAGTTAAATTAATAAAATACTTCTTTTTTTTTTTTAATTACTAACAGTTTCTATTTTAAAGCACTGAAAGTTCTGTTCTCCTTCAGGATCTTATCATCATCACTCTCCTCCTGACTGTCTTTATTTCAAAAACTGTAGAAGATGCAGATTCTACTTCTGTTCAACGTGTGTCCCCAGAGCCAAACCTCAACAACGACCAACACAAGGACAGAGCAGTGACATCGTGTCAGTCTGCGAGCAACGTGGTGCATAATGTTCATAATGAGTGCGTTTACATGCACATCAGTATCTCGGTTACAATCGAGTTTTTGGAGTCATGGTGCATGTATTATGGATGGGCATTTGATTAAATTTTCTTAATCGATCGTCGGAAGAATTAAAGATTGATTATCAATTAATCATTAACGTTTTTATATTAAAATGATCATCATTATTATTACTATCTGCACTACTAATCTGCATAAATAAATTCAACTTTACAACATATAAACATAACGACTCTAGAGCCACATCAGACGTTTGACATTATAATGTGTTTAATTCAGTTTTACGCAACTCACAGAAACGAAACTTAAAAACACATCACTAATTTGCATAAACTAAGATAAAACTACAGCTCTTGTGTCACTGATGTGGTTCAACTTCTGTGGGATTAAAAGACATGACTCAGGTGAATACAGGTTAATGTGACCAGATTTGTGTTTGTCAAACCCAGGACACCGTACGGGGGGAGGGAGGTGGGGACTCGTCATCCACATTGTGCGACTCTCACCAGGTAAAACTTTTTCCCACTGGACACCGAAACATATGCTGCTTTGTACACTGTGCACATGGACTCACACTTGTCCTGACCCGAATGGAAAGTGTGGAATTTCTTGTACAAATCATTATTAAATACACATTTGTGCTTCAGTACGTTACAGACTGACCCACTGTTTGTGTCTCGCTCCTTCTGATGCAGAGACACATGTACACACCTGTTTGGTCACGATACACACAGCAACCTACACTCGGTTTGTTGATTAAAATTAACATAATTGATGAAATTCTTAATGATCAATTATCGATTAATCGACTAATCATGCCCATCCCTATCATGTATACGCACTAACTCGGTTACTGCAATGTAAAGTTGAGTGCGAATGTGCCCAAAAAACAAATACTTATGAAATACTTTCCGGGCGCCGTCTAGTTGTGGCCGTCACCTCCCTAAACTGGAATTTCCACTGACCAAAACGCGCAAACATTAACAAGGTTTATTACTATAATTTATTCAAGTTCAGCGGGCCGGATTAAATGGTTTATAGGGCCGCATACAGCCCCCGGGCCCACCCCTGGCCTAGGATGTCTGAACTTGGATTTGTTCATTTATTTATTAGATTTATTTATTTATTTATTGGATCTTGACTGAACTTTTCTTCACACAAAGCTGTTCAGTAGTGATTTGATGGATAAATAACAGTTACATAACACAATTGGATCTCTCATGTCATAAATTAACTGTGTCGTGAGGAAATAAATGCCACCGGTATCGATTAGTATCAGTTATCAGCAGATACAGTACAGTCACAGTATTGATATCGGTATCAGAACTGAAAAAGCTGGATCAGTGCATCTCTAGATACACACTTGAGCAGGTATCGATGCTCAAAAGTAAAATATTCACGGGACAGAAATGAATCTTTCCTGAGTAGCTTTAGAATGATCTGGAGCTGTTTTTAGTATCAGAATCGGTATTGAGTATCGAGTCTGTTCGTAATCGAGTTTGAAATTTGAGCACACCAAATGAAATGAAAATGTGAGCGACTGAAAGCTGTCATAGGCACTTAAAGGAAGTGAGGTGTGAACAACAATACAAGGCTCAATCGTTTACTATGCAAAAGGCAGAGGAGAGGAGTGTGTTTACCGGGACAGTGTATGTGGTGCATGTGTCATCTCTCTGCAGTGCATGAGAGACCATACACACATTCAAATAAACCATCATTTCAGTAAATCCGTCTCATTTTCTTTGTACATTAAAGCACAAGAACAAAAAGTGTGAGCAACAACATGAGTCCTGCCAACATAAGGGTCCATTTTATACCATTTTCTGATCTATTATATTGTAGTTTCCTCGTCACAAACAGACCTGGACTTGTCTAAGAGTTCTTCTATCAGACTAAAAAAAACACTGCTCCATCTTGTGATATCATGTTGTAATACAGCAGGTGCTCCACTGTGTTTTTAAACTCCACACACCTTCACTAGAATCATTTGGATCATTTCAGAGCTGGAATTGCCAATCTCTACTATGGTAAAAGGAGTTGTGGAGTTGAAAACTGCCGCTTCATGACATCACAAAGTGGGACAGGGCAATCGGGGGCAGGAGTGTAAGCAGGGAGGCCCAGACTTCCTTCACCCCGGACACTCTCCCTCCAGCTCTGTGTTCCCACACACATGGATAGGCCTACAAGAGTACACAGACAATTTGCAAACAGTGCTTGGAAATGATGAAAAAACATTTTTTTTAAAATATATTTAATCATAGTCTTTAGTTTTTGGACATTATGTATATTTTTCAAATTTTGTAAGAAGTAATTAGAAATACATAATTAGAAAATGTAAATGTTTTCTAAATGAAAAAGAGATTCCTCATCACTTCACTACCACAACACTCAGCATTAAGTATAAAGGCTTGTTTAGACCTAGAGCAGCATGACTAGAGTAAGTGAAAGTGAGATGAGCAATAGTCTGTATATACTCAAGAGGATAAACAGGCCATCCTGTGCTTTCCAAACTCATTTGAATAATGTATTGTTTACTTGAAAGGCTCCTCCTGGAGCTCGTGGAGTTGGGGAACAGACAACTGTGAGTCTCTGAAACAATCATCCTGGATGTTTATGCCTTCCAAGAAAAATGAAAACACTCTAATGTTTATAACACTGTCATTTCTTATCCAACAAGCTCCACTGGACTATTTCTGAGTTGTAAAGGTAATACTCACTGCATAGTTGAAACCATCAGAATATTCTCCATGGAGATGAACACGTTTAATGCCACACTGTGGAATAACACAGCCAAGGAACATTTCCATGGAGACAAGCAGGAGGAGGACACATGTTTTTTCAGTTCCACATAAGCAACTCGACTGGAAAACACATGCTTATATTATAATATATTTTGGGCTAAAAAGTTACATATTGTTTGATATAATATTTATTCCTTTAAAGCATAAAGTGGAATGTAAAAGAGCAATAGAGCTGTCTGGTCTTGACAGAATGTACATCTAAAGGGTCATATTCCTCATCACAAACACCTGGACTTGTGTTTTATTTCATTCACACATGTTTAACACACAAACCCTGCACATTTTATTTCTCTCAGACAGAAAACGCCCTGTTCCACCTTGTGATGTCATGTGTTATTACAAGAAGTACTCCACTGTGTTTTTAAACTCCAGACAAAACCATTTGGATCATTTCATCCCTGGAACTTCCGATCTCTACTGAACTAAAAGTAAAATGTAGATGCTAACTTGAAAACTACTTCATGACATCACAAGGTGGAACAGAGCGTTCTGAGCACTGGTGATGTAGACAGACTAATAATGCAGGATTAGTTGGATGTGGTAACTGAGGAGGTAACAACATTAGAACATGGGGTAAAACTCACAGGAGTCAGTTTTGTCTAATATAGAACCTTTAGGCAAACTCATCTACCAGCATTTAGACCAGAGAACTAATGTGACTGAAGGCCTCCACTGTGCACGCTTTAGGTCTCACACACACACACACACACGCACTCACACACACACTCACACACGCACTCGCACACACACACTCACACACGCACTCACACACACACACACTCACACGCACACTCACACACGCACACACAGACGCGCGCACGGGGACAGAGAAAGTGCGCGCGTGGCTCTTCCACCATCAGTGCTCGAGCACGCGCCCCTGCGCACCGCCAGCATGTGTCAGTCCAGAACATCAGAGCCTCTGTGTCTCTGAACCTTCCTCGCGCTCACAACACACTTTCGGACTTATTTAAAAATACCTCACACTTGCACTTTTTGGCTCTGCGCGTCCTCGAAAGTTGCAAATATGCGGGAAAAGTCCTCGTATCCATCCGCCGCCCGGACCTGTAAAACAGAAAGTTTTGCGGAGTTTTAGAGCGTTTGCGCCCAGGAGAAAGAGCGCGCTCCGACATGAGGCTGTGCAACCGCGGGATGATGATGCTCCTGACCACCGCCGGGGCTTTCTGCGCCTTCAGCCTCATGACCATCGCGGTGGGCACGGACTACTGGCTCTACTCCCGCGGCATGTGCCGCTCCAAAAGCTCCAGCGACAACGAGACTCTGCGGAAGAACGAGGAGGTGCTCACGCACTCCGGCCTCTGGAGGACCTGCTGCACCGAGGGTAGGCTTTTATCTGATTTATTTTTATATTTTTACATTTATTTATTTATTTTCAAACAACAGGTTCAACTTCCTTGTATCTTTTATTGTTTTATTTTATTTTATTCATTTATTTTTATTACAATTTATTATTACCATTTTTGCTTTTTATTTATTAGGTGTGTGATGGTATAAAAATCCTGATCTGGTATGTACCTCGGTTTTGAGGTCATGGTTTGGTTCATTTTTGGTACAGTTTGGGAACAAAATGCAAAACTATTTGCTTGTTGTTTATTTGTGTTTTTATTAAACCAACAATTAGTTTTAACATTAAACAAATAGCAAAATAAAATAAATGCAAAATGGGAGTGGAAACTCCATGCTGGCGAAGGGCGAGAGTGAAGACCGGGGCTCGACGACCCTAGTTTTGTGAGGATTCATGTGGTTCAGAGGGACATAGTCAAGGTGGGGGCAATTATTGTCAAGAGTACCCAAACTATAAAGCGCTGCAGGAAACACTGCCCCAGTCACAAGTTCCCTCTGAATATTAAAGAGCCGAGCCTCCGTGTAGCTGCACATGTAGTGGAGGAATGTAAACACACACAAACTGCATAAATTCACAAATGCACAGCCCTGCACCGAACCCAACGTCCTGTACTGAAACAGTTCAGCATGAATACATCTACCGTTACATGTACTATTATTTGTTATTATAATATATTGCAATGTGTGAGTGACTGTGTCTGTAGTCTAAGATGCAAAAAGGCCTATCATGAGGCTGTAAGTAAATAGGCTCTAGGCAAACAACGACAATATTGAAACCTGACCATAAAGTAGAATTATCCCCCAAAAAAAATAAAAATAAAGTTGTTTAAAATAATGCAGAATGCAACACTAGTGCGTATAATGAATGATAGAATTTCATAATACTTGGCACTGCACACACCCGGACCATTAGGACGACACTTCCAAATTTGAGGTCAGTCAGATGAGTGGTTCAAGAGTTATGCTTGGAACAGACAAACAAATAAACCAACAAACCAACAGGAGGAGACACAGACAGATGTTCCTTGCATTAGTAGATAGATTTAATTCTACAGCTCAAATCTCATCGTAATAGTTACAGAAAATAACTCAAAATGTCCCAGTGTTGCAAAGAAAAAGTGCCCATGATAATATTGAGCCCAAAACATGATCATTCCATTTATCATGTACTAAACGACAAGTGGAGGCCTACATACAAATAATATCACACTTCAAAATGTCTATTGCAACAGCTCATGTTACAGGTCAGTTCTGTGGAAAGGCGCCTCTGCTCATGAGGAGAGTCTGTTTAGCAATGAAAACACATGAAACTGATTTAATGCAAGATGGAGAAGTTAAATGCCGTACTGTGGAACATTCAGTAGCATATTACTGGAGATGAGTAGTTGTTGTACAGTTGTAGGGAGTATTATCTGTTACATAAGGGTGAATTGTTGTACAGTTGTAGGGAGTATTATCCATTACATAAAAGTGAGTTGTACAGTTGTAGGGAGTATTATTTGTTATATAGGGGTGACTTGTTGTACAGTTGTAGGGAGTATTATCTGTTACATAAGATTGAGTTGTTGTACAGTTGTAGGGAGTATTATCTGTTACATAAAAGTGAATTGTTGTACAGTTGTAGGGAGTATTATCTGTTACATAAGAGTGAGTTGTACAGTTGTAGGGAGTATTATCTGTTACATAAGAGTGAGTTGTACAGTTCTAGGGAGTATTATTTGTTACATAAGGGTGACTTGTTGTACAGTTGTAGGGAGTATTATCTGTTACATAAGATTGAGTTGTTGTACAGTTGTAGGGAGTATTATCTGTTACATAAAAGTGAATTGTTGTACAGTTGTAGGGAGTATTATCTGTTACATAAGATTGAGTTGTTGTACAGTTGTAGGGAGTATTATCTGTTACATAAGAGTGAGTTGTACAGTTGTAGGGAGTATTATAGTATGAATGTAGTCCTGTGTCTCTCACTGTTTGAGTGGAGAATCAGTTCAGGAGTTGACTTTTGGCACAGAATTGGCTCTTGAAATGAAAATCCATTGGCCCTAGTGAAAGTGGGAGCTGAGTGCACCTGACCGCCCTCCAAACACTCACGCCACTTCAACATCAACCGTCTGTTTTAGATCGTTCAGTTATTCACAACCATAAGTGCCACGATCAAGCACACCGCTGTTTTAAAAATGAAACCAGACTTATTCCATTTAACTGTGCAACCTTTCTGGTAGAGTATCTGGAACATGCATATTTAAAGGGCCTACTATATTACACGTTTTCTGATCCATGTTATAATGTTTCCTCATCACAATCAGGCCTGGAGTTGTGTTTTGTTTCATTCACATGTTTAACACACAAGCCCTGCACATTTAGACTGAGTTCTTCTCTCAAACTAAGGGCCTGTTTTACTCTTGCAGGTAAAAACAACAAAATATTTTATCGGAAGTGCCTTTTATTTAGATGGTGACGGCGTTTTTGGGGCTTAAAAACGCAAAAATCTGAAACCATCCTCCAGAGTTGAAAAATTGAATACGCTCCACTGTAGTGTTTCCGTCTACACTGCCCAAGACGCAAAACTCTGGTCAGATCTGCTCACGTCATGTACGCGTTTACGTCACGTACATACAATACACAGAAACAAACATGTCAGATCATTTCCATGTGTCGGACCTTCAAGCTGCTCTAATAAACTTACAGGAGGCTCCCAACAAGCGTACAGAATCTGCAGGTATACTATTAGTGAACAGAGAAGGATTTGCATTCACCTCTGTCAAATTCTGGATGCACCAGTTCTTCACAGACGAGCCAGATGACTTGCACATCCAATCGAATTCCACATACTTTTGCGTCACCGTATGTACGCAGATTTCCTCCCGAAAACACTCATCTAAATGCGAAATAAAAAGTGAACACGCAATGCCATATTTGTATCTTCTGTTCAGACCGTCATCATATAAACGTAGCCTGAAAACACTCCAATCCACCTTGTGATGTCCTGTGGTTGGAAGAGCTCCACTTTGTTTTTAAACTCTAAACATCAGGGGTCTCCAACCTGTAGCTCGGGATCTACCAGTAGCTCTCCACCCCCTTCCAAGTAGTTCAGCAAAGGGTTTCTGAATTACATGTAATGTGCTTAATAATTAAAATCAGATTTATTTCCACTGTAAATGTGTCATTTTCATTCCTAACTTGCGCTCTAATACATGGATAATGGTTTATGTTTAATATGCATCTAACTGTGCCCCATCTAAAGCTTGATATAGCTCTTTTACAGTTTCAATTTCTTGCAACCGCTAAAATGAGTAGCTCTCTGGCATTTTCGTTTCATTGAAGGTAGGTCACCAGAGGAAAAATCTCCAATCTCTACTGGTAAAAGGAGCTGTTTACTTGAAAACATCAGGTGGAACAGATCATTTTGACTTTTGGAGATGTAGACAGACTCAACGTGCGAATGAAACAAAACACAACTCCTGGGATGTTTTTAATGAACATTCTAACTTGACTTAAAGCTAGAATTTGGACATCTTAGACCCCTTAAAATGTTATTAATAATTGTAAATATTATAAAGGCGTGCAGAGAGCCCCCATTGTGTCACAGCACACAAGACACATACTACTAATTAAAGAAGACATACTGTGTTTGTGTCTGCTATATAGTTCTAATCTGTGACACCCGTGGATCATTGTGTTATAATTTACACATTTTAAATCAATATTCATCTAAAAGGACTTAATGGATCATTGATTTAGAAAATAAAATTGGAGAACGAAGTAAGTACAGAGAAGTGGGCGTGTACCAGGAACAGCAAAAACTGCAAAATGACATCTTTAAAACAGCAGTAGTGGAGTTTTGTTACTCAAGTAAAAGTACAGATACAAAGGTAAAAAGTTACTCAAGCAAAAGTATCAATCCAATTCACTTTATTTCTACAGCACATTTTATAAACATGACACACAGACAAATGAACACGATAAAAGACAGTAAATCATAAATTTAAAATGATAAATAAAACGTGTTAAAATGCATAAAGCTAGAAATGATTAAAAATAATAATAATAATAAAGTAAATAAATACTTTACATTACAATACATTAAATAAAAGACACAGAGGAGCACACAACTCACGCGGTGTTAAAAAACAGAGAGTAAATGCTTTTAATAAGACAAGACATTAAACACTCCACTGTGGGGGCTGTTGGGACGATGGGGAGGCAGAACATTCCAGAGCTTTGGGCCACAGAGAAAGTCCTGTCTCAGGTGTCGCAGGGGAGTAAATCTAGATGAGGTCCAAGACATAACGTAAGGCCAGTCCATTCAAAGCTTTAAAAACAAACAATACAATCTTAAAATCAATTCTAAATCGACAGGAAGCCGGTGCAAAGACTCATGGATTGGTGTGAGATGTTCTTGTTTTTTGGTTAAAAGTCGTGTCACAGAATTCTGGACTAACTGCAGCCGGGAAATTGCATTGCTGTTCCAGACTAGTAGTAGTAGTTATCACATGAAACAAGTTATGTAAGTAAAAGCATTCAAGTACTTGTTTAAGAGTAAAAAGTAAAAGCATTGTTGATACATATATTCATAGCAACTAATCCATTTCTTTTGAATTTTGTGTACTTATTTTGAATTTTTATTTATTTTGAATTTTGTACTTATTTTGAATCTTGTTTTTTCTTTGAATTTTGTGTTTAAATTGTATTATTTAGATTTTTTTTATTATTATTTTTATTTAGAATTTTTACTTATTTAAAATTTTGTGTTTTCTCAAAGCCAAAGCTTGAATTAAAAAAAAAAATATATATATATATGTATATATATATATATATATATATATATATTTTATTTATTTTTTTTTTCAGGGTGTTAAAATAAACTCTAAAATCATTTGAAAAGTACTTTTTACTTTTCAGTCTTGTTCAAGACTGGTACAGATACTTGGTACAGATACTTGCTTTCAAATGTAGTGACATAAAAGTAAAAAGTATCTACTGTAAAATGTACATATACCTAAAAATTCTACTTAAATACAGTACTTTGCTACTTGTATCTACTTGAATCACTCCAAATACAACATTGAGAGTGTAAAAGAAAAGCGGAAACAACTAGAACATGGCTCCAAAGTGAAAAGTGGATTTTTCAGAATGGTTCTGCTTTAAGTCCGCCAGCGTGTTCCAGAGTATAGTTTATCATGACCATGATCACAAATGCTGTTGGCCTACTTCTGATCCGGCCTGCTCTGCACATTTGAACAGTCGTAGCCAGTGTATGAGTTGTGTTTCCATGGCGACAGAGTCATCTCATCAATACTACTCGATGAGTGGCTTCCATAGGGACACATGGATCAATATGTGACTATGTAACAGTGGCAAGGGTTAGGGGAGAAGTCAGGTCTGCATCATGTCACTAACACTTTCTGCTTTTCATGGTATAAGGCTGAGTGACAGCAAAATAAAACCAATAATAAAAAGAATAAATCAATAATTAAACAAAAAACAGTATGCCGATAAAATAATAAAATAAAATGTCTGTTACTATAAAATAAAATAAAAACTGTAAAACTTAATACAGTACAAAAAAAAAGAAGAAGTTGGGTTAAAATTCAGTTGTTGTACAGTTGTAGGGAGTATTATCTGTTACATAAGGGTGAGTTGTAGGGAGTATTATCTGTTACATAAGGATGAGTCGTATAGTTGTAGGGAGTATTATCTTTTACATAAGGGTGAGTTGTAGGGAGTATTATCTGTTACATAAGGAAGAGTCGTATAGTTGTAGGGAGTATTATCTGTTACATAAGGATGAGTCGTATAGTTGTAGGGAGTATTATCTTTTACATAAGGGTGAGTTGTAGGGAGTATTATCTGTTACATAACTGTGAGTTGTGAGTTGTGTATTATCTATTACATAGTTGTTGTACAGTTGTAGGAGGTATTATCTGTTACATAAAGGTAAGATGTTCTACAGTTGTAGGAGTATTATCTGTACATAAGGGTGAGTTGTACATAGGGAGTATTATCTGTTACATAAGGGTGAGTTGTTGTACATTTGTAGGGAGTATTATCTGTTACATAAGGGTGAGTTGTTGTACAGTTGTAGGGAGTATTATCTGTTAAATAAGGGTGAGTTGTTGTACAGTTGTAGGGAGTATTATCTGTTGCATAAGGACGAGTTGTTGTACAGTTGTAGGGAGTATTATCAGTGACATAAGGGTGAGTTGTTGTACAGTTGTAGGGAGTATTATCTGTTACATAAGGGTGAGTTGTACAGTTGTAGGGAGTATTATCTGTTACATAAGGGTGAGTTGTACAGTTGTAGGGAGTATTATCTGTTACATAAGGGTGAGTTGTTGTACAGTTGTAGGGAGTATTATCTGTTACATAAGGGTGAGTTGTACAGTTGTAGGGAGTATTATCTGTTACATAAGGGTGAGTTGTACAGTTGTAGGGAGTATTATCTGTTACATAAGGGTGAGTTGTACAGTTGTAGGGAGTATTACTGTGCTTTTCTGTTGTTTATAATGTCTATTTTGTATGTAGTGTATATGATTATTATTTGTCTCTTGGCACAAACTCGAAATAAGAACAAATCAATGAAAAATCAATGAAAACAGTGAATCAGTCGTCAGTGTATTGGGTGCTACTGATGGATTGAACAGTTGGACTCTCACCAACCCTAAAAGTTTCCCCTTAACCGTTTTCATCCGCCTGAGTGTCTGTGGAAAAAGTTGGAAGCTCTCTGCATGTTTGAACTGATCTGCAATTTAACAAATCTCTTTCTTTATGCCACAACAATTAGTTTCTAAAATGGTTAAAGGGAACAGAATCTATTGTCTGATCTATGTTGTTTCCTCATCACAAACAGACCTGGAATTGTGTTTTGTTTCATTCCTACATGTTTATCCAGTGTTGGGAAGGTTATTTTTCAAATGTATTCCCCTACAGATTACAGATTACAAACCCCAAAATGTAACGTCATCATTACAACCACATCCTGAAAATTCACGTTTGTTTTCTTCAAATTGTCTGTTGAGCCCAAGTCTCCATGAATAAACAACTGTTTGCTGTAGAGTAACAAAGACGAGGAAATCTTAATATAAGAAATTTAGACAATAGAATAAAAAGTCCAGTCTTTCCTTAACCATATTAAAAATATTCTTGATAGAGAAATGCTTTATACGTGAGATCACTGCTGCTTTCAATTATGTCCACCAACTGTTAGTGTCATATTTTTTCGACCTGGTTTTAGTCCTGGTTTAGTCCTGATTTAGTCCTGGTTTAGTCCTGGTTTTAGTCCTGGTTTAGTCCTGGTTTTAGTCCTGGTTTAGTCCTGGTTTTAGTCCTGGTTTAGTCCTGGTTTAGTCCTGGTTTAGTCCTGGTTTTAGTCCTGGTTTAGTCCTGGTTTTAGTCCTGGTTTTAGTCCTGGTTTTAGTCCTGGTTTTAGTCCTGGTTTAGTCCTGTTTTTAGTCCTGGTTTTAGTCCTGGTTTTAGTCCTGGTTTAGTCCTGGTTTTAGTCCTGGTTTTAGTCCTGGTTTTAGTCCTGGTTTAGTCCTGGTTTTAGTCCTGGTTTTAGTCCTGGTTTTAGTCCTGGTTTTAGTCCTGTTTTAGTCCTGGTTTAGTCCTGGTTTTAGTCCTGGTTTTAGTCCTGGTCCTTTTAGTCCTGGTTTAGTCCTGGTTTTAGTCCTGGTTTTAGTCCTGGTTTAGTCCTGTTTAGTCCTTTTAGTCCTGGTTTATTTTAGTCCTGGTTTAGTCCTGGTTTTAGTCCTGGTTTAGTCCTGGTTTTAGTCCTGGTTTAGTCCTGGTTTTAGTCCTGGTTTAGTCCTGGTTTAGTCCTGGTTTTAGTCCTGGTTTAGTCCTGGTTTTAGTCCTGGTTTAGTCCTGGTTTTAGTCCTGGTTTTAGTCCTGGTTTAGTCCTGGTTTTAGTCCTGGTTTAGTCCTGGTTTAGTCCTGGTTTAGTCCTGGTTTTAGTCCTGGTTTTAGTCCTGGTTTTAGTCCTCCTGGTTTAGTCCTGGTTTTAGTCCTGGTTTAGTCCTGGTTTTAGTCCTGGTTTTAGTCCTGGTTTAGTCCTGGTTTTAGTCCTGTTTAGTCCTTTTAGTCCTGGTTTTAGTCCTGGTTTTAGTCCTGGTTTTATCCTGGTTTAGTCCTGGTTTAGTCCTGGTTTTAGTCCTGATTTAGTCCTGGTTTAGTCCTGGTTTTAGTCCTGGTTTAGCCCAAAATGTGAAAACAGGAAAATACTGCCATGTAATCCATTTATTTCAACAAAGTAACTGTAATCCAATTACCGCTCATGGAAACAGCAACTGTAACTGAATACAGTTACTCATGATTTGTACTCTGATTACATAACCACTGTACATGTAATCCGTTACGCCCCAACACTTGTGGTAATACTGTACTGCAAAAAAAACTACAAAAAAAACTACCACTACATGACATTCGGAGTCGGAACAGATCATTTTGAGCTTTGGAGACGTAGACAGACTAACAATAAAGGATTACTCAACATGTGTGAAAGAAACAAAACACAAATCCAGGTATGTTTTTGACAACAGGAACCTTATAACATGACTTAAAGCTCACAAAAGTCAGTTTAGCACAATATTGGACCTTTAACAAACGTACTTTTATGTCGTCTATGTCTGTTTGTGGCAAAAAGTGACATACTAGGTAACCATATATTAAACTAAAGCAGAGTAAGTAGAGCTAAGGATATTTCAGCATATCTTTTAGGGCAATTTTAGCTTCTCATAACCAGTTCACCCAAAAACTTCAGGAAAAAAATCCTGTTCCTGTAATTTACCTGAGAAACTAAGAATCAAAACATAATTTAATTCCAATGAAGTCAAATCTAATGAAGTGAAGTGATTGAACTGTATGCTGAATTTTTCTAGGAACATTCCGGGGCGTTTGCAAAGACATCGACCACTTTCCTGAAGATGCCGACTACGACCAGGATGCAGCCGAGTATTTGTTACGTAAGATTTTTTTTTTTTCAAACATACAATGTAATATACAGTGGTATAAACAATAACATTGATAGAGGCTTAAAAATTCATCTTCACAGGGCTCAGCATGTGCCATATCTGCATTATGCATTATACAAATGGAGAAAAATAATAAATACATTCACAGTTTATATTTCAAATTCCATACAAAGTGCTTTTGTTTTCATGCGTTTGGGATTTGTACAATCATTTTGAGAATTAAGAGGACAAGAGAGACTGAAGTACAACAAATTTGGGTTTCTGACTAGAACATTTACAGCAATGGATATGAAATTTTGATAGGATTAGGATTAAGTTTTATATACATACATACATACATACATACATACATATAAAAAACTTGTTATTAATTATATTAAATTGTAGTTTTATATCAAGTAGGGATGGGCATTCGATGAAATTTTCTTAATTGATCGTCGGAAGAATTAACGATCGATTACTGATTAATCATTAACGTTTTTATATTAAAATGATCATCATTATTATTACTATCTGCACACTAATCTGCATAAATAAATTCAACTTTACAACATATAAACCGTAACCACTCTAGATCCACATCAGCCGTTTGACATTATAATGTGTTTAATTCAGTTTTGCTCAACTCTCACAGAAACAAAACTTAAAACCGCATCGCTAATTTGCATAAACTAAGTGAAGATAAAAATACAGCTCTTGTGTCGCTGATGCGGTTCAACTTCTGTCAGATTAAAAGACATGACTCAGGTGAATACAGGTTAATGTGACCATATTTACGTTTGTCAAAACCAGGTCACTGTACGGGGGGAGGGAGGTGGGGCCTCGTCATCGACATTGTGCTGCTTTGTTTGTTTTTTACACTGTGCACATGGCCTCCCACTTGTCCCGAACGCAACGGAAAGCGTGGAATGTCTTGTACAAGTCATCGTTAAATCCACATTTGTGCTTCGGTATGCTGCAGACTGACCCACTGTTTGTGTCTCGCTCCTTCTGAGTGCAGAGAGACACATGTACACACCTGTTTGGTCAGGCTATGCACAGCAACCTACATTCGGTTTGTCGATTAAAATTAACCTAATCGATGAAACTCTTAATGATCAATTATCGATTAATCAACTAATCATGCCCATCCCTAATATCAAGCCTTCTATTCACAAACAAAAAGATGTCATTTCAAAAGATTTGAGTGTATGTGCATTCCCAAAACACTCAAGTGTTTTTTCAACGCTGTGACAGAATGAGCAAAGATGATCTATGTTTAAACAAAATTTTGAAATGACAGTGTTAACAGAGAAACATCTATGCAGGGTTTTCAGGCAGACCTCACAAGTCACAAGCCAAACATCATTCCAGTTAATGTCCTTAATTTTCTTACATAAGTCCTGAGTAGGATTTGTATTTTGTGATGAAACTTTGAACAGTGTTTCCTGGTTGTGTTCAGGGGCGGTGCGTGCCTCCAGCCTCTTCCCCATCCTGAGCGTGGGGCTGCTGTTCCTGGGGGGAGTGTGTGTGGCAGCCAGTGAGTTCTACAAGTCCCACCACAATGTCATCCTGTGTGCAGGCATCTTCTTCGTCTCTGCAGGTCAGGAACAACTCCAAATGGCTCCACTGTGCTCGGCCTGTTATCCCAGCTTCACTTTATATGAGCTTTGAGTAAATATTACAAATAAATAAATCCTGAATGTTTTTGTCAACAAATACAAATTAATGTTAATCAAAGGACGGGACCATTCAGGACAAAATCTATTCCAAACCAGACCATATACAAACTTCTCAGGAGTTTCCCAGGAACAGGTTCATGTAGTAGAAGGTTCCAGATGCAGTGCAAAATAATATTATAATTTCAGTAGTTTTTGCTTAGTTGAATGTATTTTAGATGTAGTTATTTAAACTAGCATTTAAATTAGACATTTCAATAACTAAAATGAGAGTCTTTAAAAGGAGAAAGTAGTGGGATGCCAGTGGAAAAAATTGTCATTGTGTCCTTAGGCAAGACACTTCACCTACATTGCCTAATAAGAAAGTGGTGTGTGTGTGAGTGCTGGTGGTGTTCGGAGGGGCTGATGGTGCAGATTGGCAGCCTTGCTTCTGTCAGTCTGCTCCAAGGCAACTGTGTCTTGAAAGATACTATATAAATGCAATGATTAATTCATTAATTAATTATGCAGAATTTCCTACTCTAGGTCAGAAGTTCTCAACTGAAAATGGCCCATGTGTTGGGGGTCCCCCAAAATTTTAATAACATAACATCTTTACCTGAACACTCCTCTTATATACAATACCAAACACACAGGGTCGTATCTAGTTTTAGCGCTAGCTCACGTGGGTGTGTCCACGTGGGGCTGTACTTCTCTGCTGGAGGCTGGAGTGGGACGGTACAAGTATATATATGGTGACAGCATCTGAACCGCTGACCGCTGTGGCATTTAAAAGCACTGCCAGTGTGGGTAAAGTCTGCAATCTTTGCCTCATTATCTGGCAGCAAAGAGGAGTGTGGGGAAAAGTTATATATGTGACAATAAAACAGCTCCGGAGCCCCACGATGCAAGTACACACCAGCAGAGGCGCAAGGAATATTGAATTTTGTATGGGCCATGACAGAACTGACTGGGTTTGTGTTCCGAACGCGGACGTGTGCCCCTCTCATGCACGTGCACCGCTGTAAGCCCGTGCACACGCACACATCAACCTTTTATAGTTTCCTCTGCATTTGTTTAAGGCCAGTGTCTGTCTCATGTGCTCCCATCCCACAGCAGACCCGCTCCCATCTGTCCTGCAGTCCACTCCCACAGGCCTCACCTGAGGTACGAGTGTCCACCTCTGCTACTGCTGACCGCTCACATTCTCATCTCACTAGTGTCCAGTGCATTTGGTCCCACACAGGTGGATGTCTCGCGGATTATGGAATAGCCTATGTTTATTGTCATATAAATGTTTCTGATGTTACGCACAGATATGATCCCTGCGTCCGCTTCGCCATCACAGCCCCGAGCTGTCAGTGAATGTGCACACAGAGTCCGACCCTGAGAATGTGAGAAAATCAACATGGCAGCATTAGGACACAGGCAGAGTAAGAAAACAGACTTTAGGACATCGCTGTAAACAGCCTCATGTCAATGAGCAGCTTTTGTACAGATCCAGATCAAACCAAACTCTAGAGCAGAGCTGAGGCGGTACAGGGAGCGGGCGAGAGGCTGTGCTCTGCAGCGGGAGGGCATCCGGACAACTCCCGCACAGCACACAAATATGTTATGAATTTTAAGCATTTATCATCCTAATATATTATTATATATATTGTTTGATATTTATTTTTACGATCCTTGCAATTCACTAAACGTGCCACACCACACCCTCAGTCTGCTCCACTCCACCTGATATTTAGGCACGGCACACCTCCTGTTTAGAACTAAGACTGGGGGTAAGATACAGCCCACAATGTTTTGATGGAAACACTAATTAAGTAAATTGTATGAGAAATTAATCTTTCATCATTACAAACATGGTTTGAACTTCTGAATATTGATTGCAATGCCAACAGGGAGGCTGACTGGGTGTCCTTGACACATTTTCATACTGATAAGTGGTCCCTGGACTCAGAAAATTTGAGAACCCTAGGTAGGTGAGAATAGAAATTTTCTGAGCACTCATGCCTCTAATGTAGGACAACTCTGAGTAACTGATGATGGGTGAACACAGTTATAACATGATGAAAACTCATTAAAGTAACACAGTACAGTGTGCATCATCATGTCTCCTTTAAAAGACCCATATTATGCTTTTTTCTGTTGTAGTCGGGATCTATAATGTTGTTTCCTCATCAACAACGACATGGTGTTGTGTTTTGTTTCATTCACATGTTTAACACACAAACCCTGTTCTTCTCTCAAACAGAAAACACTTGGTTCCACCTTGTGATGTGATGTGGTAATGCAGGAAGTGTTCCACTGTGTTTTTAAAACCCCATTCATTGTCACTAGACTCATTTGGATCATTTCAATCCTGTAATTATCGATCTAAACTAAACAAAAGGTAAAAGGTTTAGCTGTTACCTTGAAAACTTGCTTCATGACATCTCAAGTTTTGGAGATGTAGACAGACTAATAAACGTGTGAATGAAACAAAACACAACTCCAGGTCTGTTTTTGTTGAGGTAACAACATTTAATCATGGCTTAAACCTCAATAATAGTCATTTCTGTGTAATATAGGCCTTTTAACTTCTTCCAGGTCTGAGTAACATCATCGGCATCATCGTCTACATATCAGCCAACTCGGACGACCCCAGCCAGAGCGACAACAAGAAGAGCTACTCGTACGGCTGGTCCTTCTACTTCGGCGCGCTGTCCTTCGTGCTGGCCGAGATGGTGGGCGTCCTGGCCGTGCACGTGTTCATCGAGAAGCACCGTCAGCTGCGCACCAAAGGCCGACCCTCCCTCATGAAACCCGCCATCTCACGCAACTCCTCCTACTACCGCCAGCGCTACAGCCAGAACCGCCCGCGCCGCCTCAGCTCCCGGAGCACCTACAGCACGGGGGACTCTTTCAGGGCAGGGCTGGTGAGGGACCGGGAGGCCTCCATCACGGCAGAGACGAAGATGAGCGCGCTGGGAGGACTGCCCGCGCCCATGACCATCTGTCCGGACTTCATGCTGTACACCGTGGCGCCGCAGGTCTCTGATGCCAAGTTGGAGGATGGGCACACGTTAGGAGGGCACATTGAGGAGGAGCTGGCGCCTGGGAATTGCTCAGTCAACAGAAGGACAACGCCTGTGTGAGAGAGCGTTAAGAGTGTAAAAGACAGTACGCTTTTTTGTATTCTTTTAACGAGTCCACGTTACGCTCTTTTCTGATCTATGGTATTATGTTGTTTCCTCATCAAAAACATACCTGGAGTTGTGTTTTGTTTCTTTCTTGTTTAGTTTTTCTCTCAAAAGGAAAACACTGATCCACCTTGTGATGTGATGTGAAACTCGGACAATTTTAACTCTGGCATTGTAAAAGGTTAGAATGATTCATCAGTTGGTTTCACTTCATGGAAACCGTCTGACCTCACAGCATTAGAATTCGTTCGCTCGACGGTAGGTGGGTACTTTTTTTATTTAACCAATCGCTGCACTTTGGTCATGACGTATATAATGCTCTGTTAACGGGACTAACTGGTATATTAAGCTTTTCCCAAATCCTGTAGGAAGAAGGACAATGACGTCTTTCCCCTTGATAAAATTCATCAAATATTCTCTTTGTTTCGGCTTTAAATGCTCGATCTCGGGAATCGTTGCCAACACAGAATGTACGGCTCTTTGATGGCTTTTTAGCTGGTGCCCAAACTCACACTTGCACTCCTGATCTAGTCACTGGAGAGAGTGACCTGGCGCTAGGTCGCGCCTGCCTGGATAGTAAAAGGTAGCTGTTAACTTGGAAACTATAACACTACTTGACATCACAAGGTGGAAAAGAGCATTTTGAGCTTTGGAGATGTAGACAGACTAATAATAAAGGGTTACTCAAACATGTGATTATAACATGGCTTAAAGCTCACAATATAGGCCTTAATACCTCTGCTTCAGTATGATTATTCTAGTTTATATTCTCTAATACAGTCTTGTATGTGATTTGGCTGTTTTTTTAGTTGTATTTTGTATGAATAATAAAGTATGACAGGTCTTATTTCATCCAGATCAAACTATCCTCACTGCTGGAGCCTGCGTTTACCAATCCCAACCATATAACATGACCTTCTTTACCTTAGTTCCTGTTTTATGAAGTTGCAACAACATTTTTTTCTTATGCAAAATCAACTCTTTGGGAGCTTTCTACCATGTTATAACATTGTTCCCTCATCAAAAACATGAAGGGGTATTAGATGTCATCCACGCATGTCTCACGCATGTAATTTTGCAGTCTCTTCCGAGCCCTATTCGAACCCTTATTACAGTTAGCTGTAAGATTCTGTGCAATCCTCAGCCTACAAGCCTATGTCATCCACGTGGAGGTGAGTGCTCCAATGTTAAAATGCTCTCAATTAAAATGGAAAGTGAACTCCCCCTAATGCAAAAAATACAGGGTGTCCCAAAAAGTTTGACATCATTTCCCAGGCCAATAATTTTGGCAGTTCTTGTTGAAATAACCTCAAATTTTCACAGAATGTATAGAAACAGATTAAGATTTTATATTTAATGTTTTATTTTTGTTCTGTTTTCAGGTTAAGCCATGTCGTTCACTCCTTAAGAAAAGTCATTTTGCATCTTGGAATCTGTTCGCATGCACATGTAATTCGTTAGCCCTATATAAGATGCCTTCCTCTTTAAATTTTTGGTACCAAGTTCCAAATTTGTTGGTGAAGTTTTTCCAAATTTTGCATTAAAGCTGTACAGTCTTCAGTGAGCAAGAAGATTCCAAGATGCAAAATGACTTCTCTTTGGGAGTGAACAGTTCAACCTGAAAACAGAACAAAAATAAAACATTAAATATAAAATTTTGATCTGTTTCTATACATTCTGTGAAAATTTGAGGTTATTTCAACAAGAATTGCCAAAATTATTGGCCTATGATGTCAAATTTTTGGGGACACCCTGCATAATACTTTGAAAAACATGTGAGCACTGAGCAAGTTTAATGGCATACTGTGGAACATTCCAGGCAAAGCCTTATTTCCTTGGAGACAAGCAAACTGACAAAGCAGCCATAAAAAGTGGTATTAGTGCACCTTTCATCAAAATATTCTACGAGAGACCGGGTGCTGGGGGCAGACATCTACAGTCACCCTTGCAAATGAAGAAATAGTTTGATTTATTGTTGAGCTCATAGCTGTAGGTTATACTACTCCTGCTAATACTAATACTACTACTACTACTTACTACAAGTACAGAACTATAATGTGATGCAAAGCAAGACAATGTTGTGTAAATAAATGAATATAAAATAATTTGCCTTCTTTTTTACTGATATATTTTACATAACATTACAAGCCTTCTGTAGAAATAGTTTACCTATGGATCGGCCGTTGTTTGAGATACAAACAAATAAATGTTTGTTGGTAATAAGTTACCCTTGACCTAATCCCAGACCTGTCAGCTTCATGACAGTGTCATGGAAGTAAAGTGAGTGGACACATTATCAGTGGTGAGGCTGATTAGTACAGAGGTCATGTTATAATGTTTGAGGAGAAAATCTCAAAGATGTTTTTTAAGGCCTAAATAGACCATGGATTCTGTTCCATCTTGTGAACAGAGCAAGAGCAAAATTCTGATTACAAGTAATGTATAAACAAAGCTATTGCAATTAAAGTGTTTAAAGTGACATATAATGGTGTGTATTTGTCCTAATAATCCTGGACTCTACCTGTCTCTCTATTTTTTCTCTGAAAATGAATATTCCCCAAAAACCGCTACCCTGTTCTGTAGGCTATTTTATACACAATTAAACAATGTTTGTGGGTTAATACATGGACACACCTGTTAATATAAAAGAAGAATTTCTTGACAAAAAAAATCGAAGATTTGTTCACATTAGTGTAGTAGAAACATTGACAGCTGGGCTTTATCTAATGCACATGTTCTAGTAGCTTAAGGACTAGTGTGCAGCTCACGTGTCTGCTAGACGGGACATTCTTTACTACAGGTTACCGTGACAACGATCATTGGAAAATCCAGGGTGTAGAAATGACGCGGAACGACGCCGTACGTCCGTACGTCACGCTTTGTGTAATGCTTACTTCCGTTTCCGCGCTGCGCCATTTTGCTGTAGCAGGAGGAGAAGAGGAGGCTCATGTCGTGTTCCAGTGGCTTTTGTGGATTTATATTGAAGAATTGACGGAATATTTAACGCCCGCTGGGCGTTCATAACGTGGAATTTAAGTGTGGACCGGTGAAGTTCCTCTTTTAAACCCCGGCCGTGGATTTATGAGACGATTCCCCCATCTTGTTTGTGTCGTCATTGGTTTAGCATTGTCAGGGTATTAGCTTAGCCATTAGCTTTTGTCCGGCCTGTGTCCTAAGCCTCTCTGTTCTGTGGCATCTGACACAACAAAGGACACTGTTCGGATAGACTTTTGTGTTTTGCGTATTGTTTGGGTAATTCGCGTTGCCTTTGGACTGAATGATCGTGGCTTTACGTAAGAACTGTGAGCAAAGGTGAACATTCCCGCACAGACTGAAGTCCCGGCCTGCTGCTGGCCGCGCTGCGGTGTAGAGCACGCCGTGTCGGGGCAGTGTGCCAGGGACTTTTACTGAGGACTCAGCGCTACATGTGCGTTTGCTCCATGGACGTTTTTGGATTTGGGCACTAAGCCTTTCACACTATGGGACTGTAAAGACTGTTAGGGGCACAGGTGCCTCCCATGGCGCACCGGCCTCTCTCGTCCACCCCTCTCCCTTGTTTTACTTAAGACTGTCATCTGTGAGATTCACCTTTTTACTTTAGATATTTCTGTCCAGTGTTTACAGAGAAGGGTTATAACATTAAACTATTTTCCTTCTGTGTTCAGTACTCACCCTGTTTTATTTGATTATCAAAGCAGCCCTGTGTTTCCCTTGTTCTTCCCTGAGTAGGTACAAGTGCGTCACAGCGTCACAATGTCGTGTGTTCATTATAAGTTCTCTTCCAAACTGGAATACAACACGGTCACCTTCGATGGGCTCCACATCACGCTCAGTGAGCTCAAGAGGCAGATCATGATCCGTGAGAAGCTCAAGGCCACAGACTGCGACCTGCAGATCACCAACGCGCAGACGCGAGAAGGTCAGCTCCATAGTGACGTGACGCTTGGCACTCGTGCATGCTCAAAGTTAATTCTTGTTTGTGGATACAGTCTGTGGTTCGGACTGATGTGGATGCATTTCCGCAAACATGTTGTTACATGTCTTATATCAGCATGGATAATGATGACGTAATTTGTGTTACAGAATACACAGATGAAGAAGCCCATATACCCAAACATTCTTCGGTCATCGTTCGGAGGACTCCTATTGGTGGAGTGAAGCCTGCTGGCAGGACGTTCATTGTGTATGTATTAATATAAACATACAGTCTGTAGCTTCTAAAACTTTAATCACAAGGGCTGGTAGTAAAAATGAATTGTGTGATATCTTAAACCTATATTTTCAGTTGGATATTTATTTTTTAGTTTGTCGAGAATTCTGTAAGTACAAAGATAATGTTGTAACCAGTGTGTTCCTCTTGTGCTCTCTACAGGGAGCGTTCTGACACAGCAGTGGTTGGATCATCTAGACCCGTATGTAAACCAAACCCAAAACCAACACACTCACTCACTCTCTTCACTATCTTTTCCACCTTTCCTGAAAACATTCTGTCAACAATGATGAAGTTGCGTGTATGCTCTGTTCACTGTGTGACTACATTTGTGTCAACATCTTTGAATTCTAAATGTTATTTAATGTCATTTTGAAAGGTTCTATAAGATAAGATTTTATATAATTTATTGTTCCTCACCAACAAACATGTGTTTGACTAAAGTAATAATAATATAAACTGTGTTTATATGTTTAATGTGGAGAGCAGCAAACTTACAAATGTTTTAAATGCTCTGATCTACACACACAAGTGAATTTTGCCACAGTATTTTTGATTGTATTTCATATTGAAATGGTGTTGTAGCCTGTTTACAGACAGGCAAGTGTTTTTCAAAGATTCTGCTTGTAAAACACAATGCTAACTTGTATTGATAAATGTTGTTTATTTTCTGTGAAAATATATTTGTGGCTCAATAACCTAATGGAGTAATGTGTGCCTGGGATTTACTGTAAACTGTTAAGTTACTAAAGATATGAGGATTTTAACAGAAAAAGTCTTACAGGCTTCATAAGCTAAACTTGATTCAAGTTTGTTACGTCGTAGTTTTTATTTTTTTGTACTTTTTTTCACACATTTTTCTGGGGAAAAAAGTTTTTTCGATTTTGAGAAGTTGGTTATTAAAGTTTGGTTTGGGGCTTATGCTGGTAGAGGCTTGAATCTTTGTCAACCTGTGGAGGCCTTGATAAGTTGCTGCAGTGAGTGTTCTGGTGTAGTGTCCTGTACGCTGCAGAACCTGTCAATAAAGATGAGAGTGGTTCACTGTCAGAACCGATTCCACCACATCCCTGTGTGTTCCCTGTGCAGCAAATAGTGTTCTTGAGCAAAAACATGGAGGACTCCACCTGTTGGAACAGCCAAACTATCCTGTTTAAAAAAGCTCTCAGTGGCTGAGTTTTGATGCAGATTAGTCACCTAAATGAATCTGTATCATTTTATTTCTGTATTGAATGGAATACTTGACCATGAGCAGGTTTGGTCAATTTGGCAAAGCTCCTTGAAAGAAGTTCTTTCTCTGACTAAAGTGTATTTTTAAGAAGACTTAACCGGAACAAGCACGTCCAGAAATAAAACACTGGCATGTGGAAGAGAAATTGCCTGCAAGAATAAAATGTCAAGTATTCCATTGAGAGTAAAGCTCTGGGGTGGGCAGTACGTGAAGAAGTCTCAAACACTGTGCTGGTCCATTTTGAAAGTTTCTGATGAAGCCCAGGGAGAAGGCCGGCTTTGGTCAGCAAGAAAAGAGTAGTGAGTTGAGTCTGATTCCAAATTAGGACAGTGATTACTAGATTAGACAGGGCTGAAATCTGTTTACTCTGCTGCTTGATATTTGTATTATAGATTTAAGCTTAAATCTTGTGAAATTCCCAGTAATGTTTTTAGTGAACTCTAACCCAGCCAGTTAGTGATTTGAATATTCTCCTGTTTTGGCTGCATTGGTGAAAGGGAAATAGTGTTGTTCAAAATATGGTGGGGAAATGAAGGGCTCTACTCCGCCACTGTATGATGGAATGTAGCTGTCAGTCATGACATGTTAACATGTTGCATTATTTGTACTTTGATTCTCCTCCAGACTGATTCTTCTCCTCAATTGACCCTTGCCCAACTTTCCAAGGTACTGGTTGTGTACATAAAGATTGTACACAGACCTCAAGCATTATTCAAATGTAACGGAGTTTTTTAAAACAAATTTTCTGTTGTTTTTTTTAGACTGCAAACCTGGTTGATGCAAATGCATCAGAAGAAGACAAGATTAAAGCCATGATGACTCAGTCAAACCATGAATATGACCCAATACAGTTAGTCTTGAGTCTTCATTTTTTACCTAATTGTTGTAAAGCTTTCATAACATTAAGATTTGTATTCAACATATTTTTTGCCCTCAGTTACTCAAAGAAGGCACTTGGGCCTCCACCTGCTCATTACACCTGTTTCCGCTGTGGAAAGACAGGCCACTACAATCGCCAGTGTCCTATGATTTCGGTATTTTTTAAGACACTTTATAAAGTTAGAACTTTTTGTCATGACTGTAAGATGACTTTCTTTACTTGACTTTTTTCAGGTCCAAGATAAAAATGTGGAGCTGCCCAAGCCAGTCCGGACCAGTAAGGGCATACCTCAGAGCTTCATGGTCAAAGCTGAGCCAGGGGCCAAAGGAGCCATGCTGACCAGTACTGGGGAATATGCAATACCTGCTATTGATGCGTATGTGTCACTGTTTATTGACTTCATTGTTGGTCATGATTGGCCTTGATACTCAGCTTTTTTGTCCAAATGGTCTCATACAGGGAGGCATATGCACAAGGCAAGAAAGAGAGACCTCCGTTTGTCCCACATGATCAGTCATCTTCTGACGATGATACAGACCCAATCCCAGATGAACTGCTGTGTCCCATCTGCAACGACCTCATGACTGATGCTGTGGTTATACCCTGCTGTGGAAACAGCTACTGTGATGACTGTAAGTCCTGACTACGTTCAGTCACATTTCAAAGACAGATAAAAATTACAATACATATTTTAAGGTCATTCTGGCAGTTTAGCCTGATTTCAACTAGAGCTGACCTTTTTATACCCTTTTAGGGCCAATTGACCAATTGTAACTAATCACCTAAAAAAAATAAGCCTCATCATATTTGATACTTGCAATAGCTGCCTTGATTGTACTAACTTTGTATAACCTACATGAATAGACCTTTTATAACAAAGGTCAAAATAAACAAAATTTAAAAACAGATTTTGATCAATAATACAGTTTATTTTGTAAATATTATTTTAAAAGCCTTCAGTTACTTTTATTTGGCTAAAATGAGTTTTGACAGTTTTGTTTGCCATAAAAATAATAATGTTGCTAGTCGACTAACTGAAAAAGTAATTGGACTAGACAAGCAGACTACTAAAATAAATGTTAGTTGAAGCAGTAAATATTCAGGCCCTTCTTTTAGTTAGTTGGAGTCAAACACCCTTTGTGTCCAACTGAACTCTTATTTGTCTGTAGGTATCAGAACAGCGCTGCTAGACTCAGAAGAGCATATCTGCTACTCCTGCAAGCAGTCTGATGTTTCTCCTGATAACCTGATTGCTAACAAGTTTCTCCGACAGGTAATACTCACCATTTTGGTTTATATCAGTGAACTCTAACCTACAGTATTGTTTGCAGATTATGGGCCAGACATTTTAGTTTTGTCTATTTACATTTTAGTCTTGAAAACAAAACCTTTTTACTAAATCAAAGTTTATCCACATTAGGCTGTGAACAACTTCAAAAATGAGACTGGCTACACTAAACGGATACGCAAGCCGATCCAGCACTCTGCTCCACCCCCACCTCGTCTTCAGCTGCTCCGGTCTCTGCGCTCCAGACAGCAGGACCCTCTGATGCCCCAGCCCCCACCACAGCCTCCAGTACAACCTCCTGTACAGCCCCCAGTACTGCCCCCAGTACTGCCCCCTGCTGTCAGCGCCCCAGCAATAGTCCCTGAAACCCCGAGCGCTCCATCTGTGCCTGCTGCTGCTGCTGTTGCTGCTGCTGCTACAGCTACAGCTACAGTCACCACAGCTCCCACATCGGTCCCAACTCCACCACGTGTAGTCTCTACTGAAGCTCAAGAGGCAGTCCACTCTCCAGCCCCCGTCATAGATCACCACTCCCCTATGCACACGCCAAGCCATGGAGAACCACCTCCTCCTGGGTATGTAATCACCGCCTGAATCCAAACACAATTACAGTGCAGTCAATTTATCAGTTTGATTTCTTTTTTAGGGAATCTGACCCAGAGCCTATCGTGCGAAAACCTGAACCCGCAGGACATGCTGAAAATGCTGTACAGGTGAGGCTTTATGGAGCATTGGCATGTTAGGACTCTTGTTAGCTATGCCTATCCTGCACACTTTGTTAAATCTAATGTGTCCTCAACTGCACTAGCACTGTTCAGTTTGGCTGTATTTAGGTCCTTTCATGCTAAAAGTTAATATTCACATTGGCAGAACAAATTTATATCAATCAACAGATTTTATTATTCCACTAAGATGTTTGTCAAGCAGCAAAACATCTGAACAACTAAATGACTTTGATCATAAAACCACTCATGTAAAATTTGGGTCAAATTAGTTTTTGCCACCCACAAGAGTCAGAGTTTTTATAGCTCAACCTCTGCTATAGGAAAACCACATAATGTACAATAAAAAAAAAAGTTTCTTTTGTATTCTCTTATATACTGGATAAATAAATCAACTTAACTTGCAAACTATTCTCTTGTGTATGATCTTACGCATTTTAATGTATCTTTTTTTTTCTTTACAGCATGATTCTTCTGGCAGCCATTTAACAGTTATCGGCCACCCTCCTCCCCCTCACAGATCTTCTCACCCAGCAGGTAAGGATTTCACACAAAGGCACTTTGACTCAAACTAGATTTAAGAAGAAAAGTAACTAAGCTGTGTTTGTTTAGGACACTCAAGGCCCCACCATTCACAAAGAGGAGGGACTAGATCGTGGGACAGGCAAGTCATCTTAGTTTTGGATTATTGTTCTAAATGCAACACCTTTGATCACCAGTGACCTTTTGGGGATCTTGTGAGTGTGTATTTTGTATTTATTTTTTGCTCTCATGTCTTATGTTTCTCAGGTCTTACAGGAACAGGGAGCATAACTCTGCCCATGTCCAAACAGCGCCCCCTCCTCCTCCTGTGGTACCGGTGTACGCAGCCCCAGCACTGTTCCCCCCTCCACCACAGGCCTACCCCCCTCCCTACAGCACTGGGCCTGGCCTCATACCTCCCCCTACCCTGGGCTACCAGCCTCCCCCAGTCTATGTGCCACCCCCTCCAGGCTTAAACCCTGCCTGGTTACCTCCGGGGGCTCAACCTCCTCTCATGGCCATGCCCCCCTCTCTCTCTCAGCCCCCACTATCTAAAGAGGATTTCTACAGACAGCGCCACCATCGTCAAGACAAGTATGCTTTTGTTTCACTTCTAAAATAAATAGGGTTGTCAAAAGTATCAAAAATGATGTACTAATTGATACTCAAATTTGCATCAAAACTAGATAACAATACTAAAATCAATACTAAAAAAAGTCACATTCACCTGGTAATAAAAAAAGTACTATTTGATGTTGATATCACGTTATTTTGTGTAAATAGTGTTCATTATCAGTCGAGTATCAGCTCTATTCCTTGCTATCAACGTTAAATATTAGTATTGCGATAACACTATTTGGAAATGTTTGATCGAATAAAGGCAACTACAGTAAATAGTATAAATGTTTTCCTTGTGCCATGTTGGCTTTTTCATTACATTTCATTACAGTTCAATGTTTAATGTTTTCAGAGTGACCTCCAAACTGGATGAGTTTACTAAAGACTTCCATAAAGAGCTTATGAAGTACAGGGGCGCACCGAAGAGACCCAGACGATCCTACTCCAGGTAAGCCTTAAAGCGTTTAGCCTGTACAATACATACACTGAAGGGATGGGGTGATATATCTGTTTTAGTATTGCCGATCTCAATACAGATTTGGCAATAGCAATATCAGTCATTTAATACCGAATTTTTTTTGCACTGCCTCATTCTGAGTCAATGGAGTTAGAAGAAAGTTGTATGGCTGTATTTTTACACAATAAATAGTTATTATTTTTACAAAAGTGAAGTTAATTTGTGATTTTTCCTTCAACTTAAGATAAAGTTGTGGGCCTTGCTATGAATTTTAAAAGCTAAATATTGGTATCTGCAAATCAGTTACTGGCCACAGCAACAGTCCAGATATTGGTATTGGCTCAAAAAAAAACAACCCCAAAACACTCCATATCGGGCCATCCCTGGTCCACTGCTCTGTTAAAACGTTAACTCTGTGTGTGTTGTTTGCAGGTCCCGCTCATACAGCCGCTCCCCTTTCAGCCGCTCTCCGTACAGCCGCTCCAGGTCACGCTCCCGCTCCTTCTCGTACTCGCCCAGCCGCTCCCGGTCACGCTCCCCCTCCCACGGACACTCTTACTCCAAGCGCAACGGGCGCAGCTACGGCCGCTCCAGGTCCCGCTCCAGGTCCCGCTCCTACGGGTACAGGCGTTCGGGCTCTCCCCGCACCCCTCCCTCGTACAGAGGCGGGGGCTGGGACACGGCTGAACACGGCGGGCCCTATCGATCACACTCGCGCTCTCCGGGGGGCTACAGAGGCCACAGCCCAGGAGCACGCAAACACCATCACAGAGACATGCCCCCCTATGACATGAAAGGAGCCAGTCCAGGTGACCACTGGGACAGTCAGAGCTACAGGCAGTGGGAGAAAGACTATCATGACTGGTATGGCAAATACTATAAGGACTACAAAGAGTACAAAGACTACAAGGAGTATGACGAACATTCACCCAGGTACCACAGAGGAAGAGGTAGTAGGGACAGAGACAGGGACAGAGATCGGATGTCTCCTTTATCTCGAGATTACTCCCCGCACACAAAAGCACGAAAAGGTACGCACCATACAGCCTCATCCACTGCAGGAACCAAGTCCAGCAAAGTCGTAAAAGTAAAAAAAATCAAAAGGAAGAGGACAGGGGAGGAAGCTGAAATGGCTGATCAGGCTGTTGACAGAGGAGACGCAACACCTGTCCGGGATGAGCCCATGGATGACCTCCCCATCACTAAAACCCCTCCTCTTTCTTCAAAATCTGCTATTATTACAAATAAACCCTCTTCTAAATGCCCTGCTGTTTCAGGAAAAGCCCCGTCCAAATCGCTAGTGAAGACTGACAAAGCCAAAAAAGAGAAGGTCATTAAGGCTAAAGTCAAAGTCAAACCAGACGGTACTAAAGTGAAAAAGAAGCCAGGTGAAGGTGTTGTCAAAAAGAAAGAACCATCATCTGCAACAGGAAAGCCATTGAAGACTAAGCTCAAAACTGAAGATGGTGCTAATTCAGCTACACCAAAAAAGGATAAGGCAAGAAGTACCATTTCAAAGCAAGTGCTGCCTAAAACCCCACCACAGTCTTTGCTAGAGCAACCTGCAAATGACACTTATCTGCATGAAAGCCATAGACTGAGCCACGATGTTCGCAATAGAAGAGACGTGCCCCAAAGGGAAGGTCTGCTCCCATACCCAGTCCACCACAGACCCCCGTCCCCCATGGACAGGGGCAGACGGGTGGTGGAAGAGACTCACTCCTTGCTTGGGCCCCCTCCAGGGAAGTTGAGGCGCATAGAAGGACCAGGACTGAGCAGAGAGCATACTCCACACTCTCATGTGCCCCACCAGCCTGCGCTCCAGCGGGTGGTGTCCCCTTCAGACAGACCTCTGTCTGTGACAGTGAGTCGGGAGCCCAGTCGGGAGGAGAGAGAGCGAAGCCATAGGCCCTTTATGGACCTCAAGGTGGGTACAACCAATCAAAGAGACATACTCTGAGCTTGTTTTGTTCTTCACGGGGTAATATTTTGACTATGACCCCTTGAAAACATTGGTATTGCCATTTTCTAATAATTCTATGTTGTTTTGTTGTTTAGATCCAAGTGAATCCCACCAGGAGGATAAAGTTGAACAGAGAAGTGACCAGAAGAGGCAGTGCTGACACTCCCCCCTCTGGCCCAGAAAAGAGCAACTTTTCCTCTAGTGTTCCACCACCAGGAGACAGACACAGCCCAGAGCCCAGCCTGCGGAGAGAGATGTCTCCTTTAGCTGAAAGAAGAGCTGGACATGGCAGTGCTGGGGACACAGGGTCAGAGAGGGGTCGCGACAGAGGACTAGGCCTGGACCGGGACAGAGACAGAGGGCATGAGCGGGCCAGGGACAGGAGCAGCCAGAGAACCAACCAGAGGGAGAGTGAGGAACAACGCCCTACGAGGAGTGAGCAGAAGACTGAGCAGAAGAACTCTGGTGGAGGGAGGTCTGTGTCTCTGGACAAAATGACCATCGCAGAGAAGTCGGCCAAAAAACAGACAGACCACCCAGACAAGCCCAGTGCGGTGCACAAGGACAGGGAGCACAAATCAGACAGGTTGGTTCTACTGTTGCTTACATACACACAAGGATGTGTGTGAACGCTCTGATCTGTTTTTTTAACCAAGTAATGCATATTTGTGTTTAGGTAAATATCTGAGTTTGCTGCAGTTGAAAATCAATTGTGCCTGTAAAATGCATTACAGGTTGTACTAGGCTTTGTGAAGGATTTTTGTGTTTGGATTCCTCTCCTCTGGTAGATTTCCCGTGGGTGCTCTGGCATTGCTTGCCCTTTCAAATGCATGTGCAATAGGTCGCCATTGCAGGCAGGACTCCATTAACAGAGGGGTTAAAGAAAGGGCAAATGAGATGTGATAATGCTAAGCGGCTTATATTTGCGTTTTGCAAGCTTTGAAATTTTTTTTTATAGGGAACTAAATAATTAAGGGTCCTGTGCTTCCACAAAAATGTCATTTAAACCCCAGGAAGCATATGTTCATGTAAACATATTCATGCACAGAAACAAATGCTCCAGCACTTGAATATGTAAACACAGATGTTAATATGTAATTATTTCTCCTTATTTCCCAGGAGTGTTTCCAAGGACAGAACAGACAGAACAGTGTCCTCAGGAGAGAAGCCAGCTGCTGCTCAAAGAGAAGGTAATTGTGTCCTCCTGAACATAGCGGCAGCAGCAGTATAACTATAACTGGGTTTAGACTTGTGCTATCTCATTAGGCTTGTTTTAAACCTGCTTCTTTTCTACTCTCAGCTAAAGACAGCCAGGAGCCTCCTGCTAAGACCAGACCCAGAATCAGCCGCAAGATCCTCACCTCGCACAGCGGGGCATCTGCTAGGTAAGTTCTCTTCCTGCTTTGTCATTTTTTACAAAGTTCCTTTTTAGAAATGAACCTGGAAGGAAAAAAATCTAAAGCTGTGCCTCAGGGAAGACTTCAGAAATGGAGATGACTTTGAATTGACATTTAAGAATTCTCTTATCTAGAAGGTTCTTTTGAATGAACAGAATAGCTCTTTTCCCTGATTTTAATCATCTGACTACTGACTGATAATACCTAGTTGTCCAACTCTGTATTAAAAATATTCAAAACATTTTGTAAAATTACATACTAATATTAATTTTTCAATTTCTGCAAGGTCATCACAAGAGTCCAAACGCAACCCAGACAGACAGCAGAGACATACATCGTCCAAACCTGTGGAGCCGCAGCCCCCTGAGGAGCAGCAGCATCATAGCCCCAGTGCTAGCCCCGCCCCCAGCCCACCTCGAGTGGAAAATCCCCTCATCCAGGCCCCTCCCCGCTCCAAGTGGGAAGATGATGAGGAGAGCCAGGACAATGAACCAAATGCTCCTCAAGAACCTTCACCAGAGTCCCAGAGGAGCACGGAAAGGGAGGGCCAACTCAGAGCTCCTAAACCAGCGAAAGCTAAAGATGACAAGAAGCCTAGACCAAAAAAAGAGGAGGGCAAAGTGTTGAAGAACGCTGAGAAAACTATAAAAGTTAAAGTGATTAGAGAAGAGGTAAAAGTGGCTAAAGACGAAGCTCGGGCGGTTGAAAACAAACATGGCGGCTCAGAACCCAGAGCGCCGGAGCCCAGAAGACAGCGCTTATGTTCAGACCTGACCCGGGAAACGGACGAGGCCGCGTTTGTCCCAGACTACAGCGAGGGCGAGGGGTCAGAAGCAGAGAGGGGGAGGAGCTGTAGTCCCAGCCAGTCCCTCAGCCAGCCCTCAAGAAGCCCCTCCCCGAGCAACAACGAGAACTCTGTTGGCGGGGACAAGAAGAAGAAGAAACATAAAAAGCAAAAGAAACACAAGAAGCACAAAGAGAAGGACAAGGAACACAAGGAGCACAAACACAAACACAAGAAGAAGAAACGCAAGAAGAGCAAGGACCAGGAAATGGACGACAAACAAGAGAGGGACCAGGGACAGGAGGACGAGGAGGAGGAGGCAGAGGCCAAGCAGGGACCGTAATCAGTCTCTCTGCTGTCCAGTCCACAGGAGGAGGGAAACAAAGGCCAAGGTTCTCTGTGCAGCGCTTGATAGGAACTGCTGTCCTGTTTGGGACACGTTCTGCTGCTCGGTCCTCTCTTCCATCATTGCATCATTGCGCCGCACTTTGTCCTTCTGATGATCAATGGACATGACTTGATAATTACCCATTATGTGATGAGAGAAAGAACATCTCAGGGATTGTGTCTTTTTCAAGGAGAGATTGTTTTTCGTTTTTTTTTGGTTTCCGTCGACTTCATTTGTAAATAAAGAGAAATGTTTCTCTACATTTTTTATAGCCATAACCCTGAGTGTGCCCTCCACCGCTCAAAGTAGCCTTGGTGAGCTTGTGTTCTTTCTAGCTGCTTCGCATGTTTTGGCACATCAAGGTTAAATCATTTGTGTTAATACATTTTCGTCTAATACTGAACGAAAGCTGAAGAAATCCTTTGCTTATTGTAAATTGTATGTATTTTGCAAACCTGTAGATAATTGTAAAGTGAATATGCTGAAACATGAGCGCGCCAGTATCTGCAGTTGTTCATTTTGGGACTACACTGGACTGTTGAGTTGATTCTGTATGAATTTGAGGCTGCATGATTTGGTTCCAGCGCAGAGCCGGTGTATCACATTGTGCGTGAGTGACTGTACAGTTATGTCTGTGCGAGAGTAACAAATTAGTTCTTTTTTTAATTAAAATGTTTTGACCTCGTAAACTGGCTCATGTGCTGCATTATTACCACACGCAATATTGATGCTTCTTCTCAAGGCGAAACTACTCACACCTCCGAGAAAAGTCATGAGGCTTTTGGGAGAGATTGTAGGTTATATGATTGCAATATTTTACTCCCACTTAACATACACTACTAGTCAAAAGTTTGGACAATTTTTGTTCTTTAACCCTCTTCAGGCAGGTATTGCAGATTTGCAACAGCTAAATGCCAATTACCTACTTACTCCATATTCATATTTTATGAGCCGTTTTTACTCAGGAGCCTTGTTTCCCATCCATGCTGATAAACGTGGACGATGCAGACTGTGCAAGAATGGCTACACACAAACGACCTGCCAGAAGTGCATAGTACCTTTGTGCTTTACAAAGGATTCAAATTGTTACTTGGAGTACGACACGAAAAAGTGATGTTGTTCTGCCACTGTAAAGCGCTGTTACTCTGTGCTTTTTGTTTTCATTGTTATGAAAAGTGGTATATAAATAAAGTTAGCATTCATATCATTTTCAATCTTCAGTGTTAATTTACCACACCGGGCCAATGCTGCAAATCTGCAACATCCCGGAACGTAATGGATGTGAAGATCTCTCAAAAAAAGTCAGGATTGTATATTACTACACCATATGATCATTTTCCCCAAATATCAGATTTTTCCTGTTACAAAAACTTAATTTGAGCCTGAGAGGTTTAACTTCATTACTATTTACATTACATTTATATATGTGATATCTTACATAAGTGTCTAAAATCAAACAAGTAGGGAAAAAAATATTAAATGATAAGTGATCTTTTTCCATAGATTCTATCTGGATGAGGGATGTATACACATTAAATAATAAGGTGTGTCCAAATTTGACTGGTAGTTTACATGTAAGTTTAAAGGTCCTATAATACATTGTGTACCAAAGACTGGGTCGCGACACTCAGGTGGGTCGCAAGAGATTTTTTGGGGTCCCCTTGTCACGATCTGCATGTAGGTTTGCAATATACAGACACATGAGAGAAATACTGACACATGAGAGAGCTAGTGACTATTTTGTTCCAATATTGCTGGTTCAATTGAATGTTGAAAAGAAAAATAAATGGGCTACATCAGGGGTCTCCAACCTGTAGCTCGGGAGCTACCAGTAGCTCTTCACCCCTTTCCAAGTAGCTCGCCAAGAGATTTCTGAATTACATGTACTGTCCTGATTAAAGTAAATTTAATTACTGAAATGTATATTATCATTGTGCATGTATCATTTTGATGCCTAACTTTGTGCACTAATAAATGGATAATGGTTTGTTTTATAGTGTAGGCATCTAACTGTACCTCATCTAAGGCTTCCCATGGCTCGTATATAAGCTCAATTTCTTGTCCTGCTAAAATGAATAGCTCGCTAGCATTTTCATTTTGTAAAGGTAGCTCACTTGAGGAAAAAGGTTGGAGACCCCTGGGCTACATTTACTGTCAAAACAGGTGACTTCTGGATTCCTGATTCCTGATCCATTCCTGATATGGAATGTTTAGTAACCATCGGTGTTGATGTATTGTCTTGAAAAAGGAAAGGGGGGCAGATAACATAAGATTTTTTCTTTTCTGCTCCTTTTCATTCATTTCTTGTGTGTTTGATGTTCTGACACTGTCGATGTCTTTTTATGCTTTATGAATGATATAAATAAATAAATAAAATAAATTCCTTTTATTGCTGCTTCAATGACTGTTTAAAACTAGAGTAATACTAATTGTTCAGAGAGACACGATCACTCAGTCAACAATAAAATATCCTCATTCATGGTCAATAATGCTCAAATGCACCTTTATTTTGTGATTTACAAATAATGTCTGTTGACCTCGGTGGCAAAGGTTTGTGACTAAAATATGGGTCCCCAGAAAAAAAGTATGGGAAAGACTGCTATAATAAAACAACTGACAGAGATCAGCAATTCCAGGGCTAAAATCATCCAAATGATACTAGTGAAGGTGCATGAAGTTCAGAAACACAGTGGAGCACTTCCTGTATTAACTGTATGGCATTACAAGGTGAAAAAGTATTTTCAGTTTGAGAGTAAAACGATGTAAAGGAAACAAAACAAAACTCAAAGTGTGTTTTTGATTAGGAAAATAGCATAACATGGGCTCTTTAAGGTGTAAAATACAAACAGAATAAGGGAGAGACTACACTGACGACAAACTCTTCAATCAGCCCATTTGATTCCACACTTACTTTGTACCTGTCTTTTATCTGTTTATGATTAAAGATGGCTGCCTGTGTACGCCATTGTTTTTCCACTCTCCAAATGAGATTAGTGTTGTTTCCAGCAGTGAACTGAATTGTAATCAGCTGCTGCCGGTTGTGTGCGAGGTGAACATCACTTTCTAGAGCTCATTATGCTCCAAGTGTCCTCAGGAGAGTGCAGGTGCCTCCAGTTCATATTTTACCGTTTAATACTGTACTTTGAATATTTTACACATGGACCAACCAAATGCAGCTCTGCCAAGGATACTGAGGAGTTTCTATCCTATTTATGCTTCTGTGTCACTTACACATTGAAGTTACACATTTAAATAGCAATTACATTTCAAGCATAAGATTAGTAAATATATAAATGATAAAACACACCATATTTCAAATAATGGAAAATGATCTTTGAAGTAACAGAATGTGCTTTTGCTGTTAGTCTTGTGTTTTCCTAAATTTCACCTTTGCTCCCTTTCATCTTAAACTAATCTTCCATTGGAGGATTATATAATGAAGATGTAACCAGAGAGCGGCTGCTGCAGTGAAGGGCTTGAAAAGTCAACATTTGACACAGTGTTTACCTTGAAATGTGCCTTCTTCAGATGGATTACCTACAGTTCACAGCAAAGCACTTGGGGGCAGCTGTGGGCTCTTACAACTTCTTAGTCTACACACAAAGGTGAGAAAGTAAAAGATGTCTTTCCTCACATGTGTCAGATATATTTGGAAAACACTAAATATTTCAAAGAGGAGGGAGAACGCACTGGAAAGCAGACACTTGGTGAGTTTCAGGGTCTTTGGCAGCTCATTCTTTAGTGGCATGAATAATTAAAGCAGCATTACTGAGGAGCGGACTGCAGCGAGGAAGACTCAACACTGTGTGGCGCTGTGTGCCCTGGATCTCTGTTATGTGGAGGGAAACTGACTTTCAGAAGAAATCTACTGAAAAAAAAAACAAAACACTGGCACATGTCTGTGAGGCTCTGTGTACAGCGCTATGTACAACTCTGTGTCCCAGAGCACATGATGCCCATATGTGTGGACTGTGTATGTGTGTGTGTGTTTGTGTTTGAATAGGGTGTGTGTTGTCGAGTGCGTGGGTGGTTATTCACATCAGAGAGACAAATCTGAAATCTGCATACACAGGCACGTCATAAGGACATTTTGCTTTGGTAGGGGCAGGGTTACATCATGTTACATCAGTGGAAAAGTGTGTTAAAGATGACAGTGAGAGTTTATGCTATGCAAATGCAACTTTAAGTTTACAGTCAGTTTCTGGTGTAAAGTATGTAATTTCCAACAAAGCGTGGAAACATGTCATCATGTTAACATGTACATACAAGGACATTTAAGTGTATATGTGTGTGTGTGTGTGTGTGTGTGTATGTGTGTGTGCATCTATATGTTTGATGTATGTGTACATGTACATGTACATGTGTACATGTATGATGTGTACATGTATGAGTACATGTATGTGTACATGTATGCGTACATGTATGTGTACATGTATGTGTACATGTATGTGTACATGTATGATGTGTACATGTATGTGTACATGTATGATGTGTACATGTATGTGTACATGTGTACATGTATGTGTACATGTATGATGTGTACATGTATGTGTACATGTATGATGTGTACATGTATGTGTACATGTGTATGTATGTGTACATGTATGATGTGTACATGTATGTGTACATGTATGATGTGTACATGTATGTGTACATGTATGTGTACATGTATGATGTGTACATGTATGATGTGTACATGTATGTGTACATGTATGATGTGTACATGTATGATGTGTACATGTATGTGTACATGTATGTGTACATGTATGTGTACATGTATGTGTACATGTATGTGTACATGTATGATGTAATCAGATGTGCATGTATGGTTGGTGTATGTGGATGTCATAAGCACATGTGTGAGGTACGTCCTGAGTGTGTGACAGGGCCAAACTGAAATGACAGTGCGGCTGAGACAGAACAGAGCAGATGTGCTTCTCCTCTCTCTCCCTGACTGTACATAACACACTGGGCTCAGAGCAGTGTGTGCGCGCGCGTGCGTGTGTGTATGTATGCCTATGTGTGTGTGTGTGTGTGTGTGTGTGTGTGTGTGTGTGTGTGTGTATGTGTGTGTGTGTGTGTGTGTGTCCATGTCCTCAAAGGTCAGTGCTAATGGACACAGAGCTCACTGAAACCATTAGAGAAGATTAATATATTGTTTTAACCCATGGCCAGATTAGCATCAGTGCTCATTCTGCTTTTATCTGTCATGCTGTGAGCTTCATTGTAGATCACTGCACTTGTTATAATATAAAACAGTTCGAGTCTGCTTGTATTAGTCCTGAGAAAGATAATTTCCTGTCATCTAGGCCAAAGGTTGCTAAGCAACTTTACTTTTGCCAATGGTCCAAAAGATGCTTCTCTTGAGCGTGGCTCGTGTGACTGGCTGTGCTCTGAGCTCAGTGTGTGCTCTGTCATCAGGGCTGACTGTGTGTGCATGATTGCTCATGCAGCTGTATGGACCAGTGTGCATTCTGTTCTCAGAAAAGAGCAAGAAACTGACAGGAGTGGGCTGTAAAATGTGCTCACTGATTCTATACTTTCAGCACACGCCCAAACCAGTCACTGAGCCATAAACTGCCCCATAACATTTCAAGTCCAGCTGCTCAACATCGCCTCATATACTGGGCTATACATTTGGGCTGTATCATACTGTGTGAAGAGTTGGGTGTCTTCCCTCACTGCTGCT